CATTGAATCATTCGTAGATGTTATGTAGTAGTCATATTATTTATTTATCCTCGATACAAGCTTGATACAACCACAGACTAGCGAATCCAACAAAGGAATATTCCAATAAAACGGTGATATATTCCTCCGTGATATATTCCTCCGCCAGCGCGCACATATATTTTGGTTGTATTGCGGTAATACTTCGACAATATTTTGGTATTATTCAGTGCAAATCAGAGATAAAATTAAGTTAAATTCTCAAAATATTTTAAATCCCATGGATCTTATTCAAATGTCATTTAATCGTTCGTATATGTTATGTAATAGTCGTATTATTTATTCATCCTCGGTACAAGTTTGATACAACTGCGGACTGACGAATCCAACAAAGGAATATTCCAATAAAACCGTGATATATTCCTCCGCCAGGGCGCAATATATTTTGGTTGTATTGCGGTAATACTTCGACAATATTTTGGTATTATTCAGCGTAAATCAGAGATAAAATTAAGTTAAATTCCCAAAATATTTTAAATCGCACGGATCTTATTCAAATGTCATTTAATCATTCGTAGATGCTTTGTAGTAGCTGTATTATTTATTTATCCTCGATACAAGCTTGATACAACTGCGGACTGGCAAATCCAACAAATGAATATTCCAATAAAACCGTGATATATTCCTCCGCTAGCGTGCGTATACTTTGGTTGTATTGCTGCAGTATTCCGTATATATTTTGGTATTATTCACCGCAAACAAGAGATAAAATGCAGATAAAATTTAAAAATATTTTAAATCCCACGGATCTTATGCAAATGTCATTTAATCATTCGTAGATGCTGTGGAGCTAGATACAACCGCGGATCTGCGAATCCAACAAAGGAATATTCCAATAAAACCGTGATATATTCCTCCGCCAGCGCGCCTCTATTTTGGTTGTATTGCGGCAGTATTCCAGATATATTTTGGTATTATTCACCGCAAACGAGAGATAAAATGCAGATAAAATCTAAAAATATTTTAAATCCCATGGATCTTATGCAAATGTCGTTTAATCATTCGTAGATGCTGTG